CGGGGGGACCCGACGAGCGTAGGCTGCCCGGGGCTCCGGGCGGACCCGGGTGGGCTCGGCCGAGCCCCTCGCGGGCGGGGCGGCTCCGGGACCGGGGGCTGCACCTCGCGGCCGGACCGGCAGCCACGGGCAGGGAGAGCGTGGGACAACCGGGCGGCGGGGCCACCGGACACGGCGGCGGAGGGGGCTCCCGTGCCTCTGAGGTGTTTCCATGGCGCTGGGCATCTGCCGGTGCCGCCACAGCCCCGAGCCCCTTCCTCTGCCCCCCGCACCGAGCACAGCGGGGCCGCGGGCTGCGGGGACGGGTGGTGTCCCCCGGGGACCCTCGGGGCGCGCAGGGGGCTGCGGAGCGATGCGCGGGGGGGCCTTACCTGGCTGAATTCCCCCGGCCAGCCCGTGCCAGCACAGACGCTGCCTGTTGATCCTCCCGAGCGGGTCCCGCTGCAGAGGCTGCTGTGTCCTCTCCCACCCGGGGGGCTCACCCACCACGGAGCAGCGGGGGGTCCCAGCCAGCCTGACCGCAGGGCTCTGCGTTTCCTTCAGCAGTGAGGAGGCAAAGCCCACAGCTCCAGACCAAGAAGCCCTGGGAGATGCTCGTGCTGTCTCCAGCGGGCTCTGCCTCGCAGCTGGAGAGAGCCAGGCGACGGAGCAGGAACCATCTCAGCAGCAGGACCAGGCTGGCTTCCCTGGCACACGGGGAGATCGGCTGCATCCAGGCAAATGCCAGGGTGGCTCCCGGGGAAGCAGGGCTGCAAAAGAGCAAGGCAAGATGAACCAAGACGTGTGGCTGGGGCTGCTCAGCAAGGGGAGACAAGCCCCAGGCAAAGGGTGACCAGGCTGGGGGTGAGACCTCACCAGCAGGACAGGGACAAGTCAGTGACGGGTCCCATCAACAGCCATCATCAGGCCAAGGCAAGGTGGCACATCAGGTCCCAGGCCAAGGAGGAAAGTCCAACAAACCAGTCTGGCCCAAGAGGAGTGGATGGAGCCTCAGGCACCTCCATAGCTCAAACCAGCACTGGGGCCTGGGCCAGCATTTAAATAGAGCCCCCAGCCCAGTGGCAGAAGGAGGGCAGGGAGTGGCAGAAGGTGGGGGGGTCTCAGCTGAAGCTGCTCAGGGTAATTAAGGGCAATTAGTGCACTCAGGGCCCTGACAGCCGCCTCCTCTGGAAAGTCTGGAACAGAGGGGGCCAGAGGCTCCACGCCAGAGTGAGGAAAACACAGTCCATGCTGAAGGTGAGATTATCGAGGGGGGGGCAATGCCACAGGGCGGTGGTGAGGAGACAGGGCTGAGGCACCTCCCAGCTGGCAGGGATCAGCCCCTTCTCCCCAGGGCATTCCCGGGAGACCAGGCCTTCGCTCCCGCTGCCGCTCCCCTGCCTTGCACCCCGGGCACCCCCGGGGCAGCAGGGCACCCTGTGTGCAGGGGCTGTGGTGCTGCCCACGGGCAGAGGGGGTGGCTTGGGGGGCTCCTAGTGCCACGAGGTGGGGTGCATGGGGTCAGAGGGGCGGTGGGATGTGGAGCGGTGCCATGAGCGTGACCCACCCCCCCACAGGAAGGCAGGGAAAGGTGGGAGCCGGGGCTGAGGAGTGACCCTCACCTCTCCTTCACGGTTCCCCCCGCAGCTGCCGGCCCACCCTGTCCTCGCCCCCCACCCGTGAGTGGTGGCCGGTGCCATGGAGGAGGTGACGGAGCTGGAGGTGGGGGGGAACTCCCTCCTGAAGGCAGTGTGGCTGGGCCGGCTCCGGCTGACCCGGCTGCTGCTGGAGGGGGGGGCTTACATCAACGAGAGCAACGAGAAAGGGGAGACAGCCCTGATGGTGGCCTGCATCACCAAGCACGTCGACCAGCAGAGCATTAACAAGGCCAAGATGGTAAAGTACCTGCTGGACAACAGAGCGGACCCCAACATCCAGGACAAGTCTGGGAAAACGGCCCTCATGCACGCCTGCCTCCACGGCGCCGGGGGGGACGTGGTGTCCCTGCTGCTGGAGAACGGGGCCGACCCCAGCCTGGAGGACCACTCGGGAGCATCCGCCCTGGTCCACGCCATCAACGCTGACGACAAGGACGTGCTGCAGCACCTCCTGAACGCCTGCAGGGCCAAAGGGAAGGAGGTGATCATCATCACCATGGACAAATCGGCCTCTGGCACCAAGACGGCCAAGCAGTACCTGAACGTCCCCCCCTCGCTGGAGTTCAAGGAGAGGGCCCCCCCCGAGGGGTGCACAGCCCCCTCCAGTGCCCACCTGAAAAACCCCGTCCCGGCACCTTCCTCTGTGGAGAAGGAGAGCGGCGTTTCCATCCCACACCCATCGCACCCCGGGGACACCCCCTCTGCCAGGGCTGCCGACGAGCCCCCCAGCGCAGCCCGGAGAGCCCGCCTGCCCCAGCTGAAGCGGCTGCGGTCAGAGCCCTGGGGGCTAGTGGCCCCCTCGGTGCTGGCCGCCTCCGCGCACCGCGACGACACGTGGGTCTGCACCAACGACGAGGTGATCATGGGCATCGGCGACCTCTCGCTCTCCAAAAAGGCTCCCCTGGCCCGCAGCGGCAGCGGCAAGAGCAAGGACCCCTCTCTCTTCCCCCCCGTGGACGAGCAGGCTCTGAGGACGCCGCCAGCCCCAGGGCCACTGGCCAGGAAAGCAGCCTACGAGAAGAGCCAGGCCACCCACCAGCGCCTGCCCCGACGGAGCACGGTCCCTGAGGAGCTGGAGAGCGTCGGCTCCGCTGCCGCCGTCCCGGCCGCGGCCATGGACCCGCTGCACCGCTGGAGGCTGGGAGCCGAGCACTACGAGGGTGACCCCCAGCCCCCCGGCGTCCCCGGCCCGGCCGAGGCGGGGAAGGCGCCGCTGGAGCGGAGGAAGCTCAGCGGGTCCCACCTGGCCTTGCTGGACGGCTCCCGGGAGTCCCTGGACGGCATTACCGGCACGTCCCCCGCCACCGGCCGGCACCGGCCCCCCGGCTTGCTGGAGAGGCGAGGGTCCGGGACCCTGCTGCTGGACCACATCTCCCACACCAGGCCGGGATACCTGCCCCCCCTGAACGTCAACCCCAACCCCCCGATCCCTGACATCGGCTCCAACGGCAAAGCCTCCTCTCCGCTTGCCGCTGGCCTCAAGTCCCTGGTACCCGTGGCCCCCAGCTCGCCCAGGCGGGGCGACTTGAGAGCCAAGAGGAAGCTTCTCCGGAGACACTCCATGCAGGCGGAGCAGATGCGGCAGCTCTCCGACTTCGAGGAGGTAGTGGCCCAGTAGCCGTGTCACCGGTTGCTTCCCAGGAGGGTCACGAACCCGCACTGTCCCTGTAGAAACGTGATGGTTCCCGCACAGAGCGGTGCCCTGGCCCCGGGGAAGCGCTGGTGGCCATGGGGGTCAGACCAGGGTATGAACTGGGGGGGCTCCTGCTCCCGTTTGCCAGAGCTGTAGGGAGAGCCCGGGCATCCAGCCCAAACAGCCGGAGTCTCTTGAATTCTTCATTCATTTCTGGACCTTTCCCCAGGAGCGACTCCCCGAGACACCAATCCCAACCACGGGAGATCACGGAGCCTCGCACCGGGGCTGCTGCCCGCAGGTCACTTGTTCCTCTCTGTTCTCAATCTGCTTTTCTCCCCTCCCGCTGGTCCTGACACAGAAACCGTCCGGAGCCCCCGGCCGGGGGGGCTGATGTGTTTGTGAAGTGCCTACCAGGAAGGAAAGGAGCTTAATGCTGCAGGGGGCTGGAAGAGCAGACACGCACACCCCCCACCACCAGTAACAACTGAATGTATGGGTACCCCCCCCTGCTGTGGGGGGAGACGATTCTCCACCTCAGAGATTCCCAAGCACTTTGAAACTCCAGAGGCCGAGACAAACCCGTTTCTGCTGCCACCCGGAGCCTTCAGCTGGTCAGGAGCGGGGTTTCTCTGTCTCTGCTGCCACCGAGGGTCAGGGGCATTTCCCACGCCACTGAGCAGCTCCGAGCACCCAATTCCTGTCTGCAATTCCCGTCTGCGTGGGAAGTTCTGCCAGGGATGGGGGAGGAAGGATGCCAAGGTGCCAGGGATGGGGGAGCAAGGATGCCAGGCTGCCAAGGAGGGCACACGGTGAGTGCCAAGGGCTCGTCCCAGCAGAGGAGAGTGACAGGGGCAGCACCGCAGCCAGGACACCCCCCTCCTGCTGACCCCGCTGCTGCGACTGCCCTTTGGGGCCGAAGCGGAGCTGAGTGGGGCCAGTGGCTGCAGGCAGGAGGAGGGGGCGGCTGCAGGTCCACCCCCATGGCCCCGGCCCCAGCCAGCAGTGGGGAGCACTCCTCACCCCACGGGTGGGCCCGGGGGCTGGATGTGCCCCGAGCTGCCACCCGTCCCACTGCACGGAGCCGGCAGCAGCGTCCCCCGCCGGGGCTGCCGTCGGGGTCTGCCCCCACCTCCATCAGCCCCACACACGCTTCCGTCCGTGCCCCCGACGCTGCTGGCGACCCCCCGGCTCCTTGCCCAGGGCATTGGGCCGCTTGCCCCGGGCTGTGGCGGAGCTTCGCACGGTTCCCGCCAGGAGCAGCGGGGCCGGTCGGTGGCACCTGCCCGGGAATGTCCTCTGAAAGTGCTTTCTAGACTAAAATACGCTATTTAGAGTAAAGGTGGGTTTATATTTTTACAGCCTTAAAGTTTATACTTTCTGTAGGTAAACTGTCTCATAGATTGAATTTCGGGCATATTTTCCCTAGAACAGTGACGTCTGTCTTACATTTTGGAGTGTGGCGTTTTAAATCCTGTCGTCCACCTTTTCCATCCACTTCTAAATACCCCGATATTCTGCGTTTGTCTTTTGTGGTTTCTGAGCCGCCTCCGAGGCCTTTATCCCGCCGGGGCCACCCCTCGGGGGCTCACCGTATCCCGCACCTCGGGGGGGGCCGGGGCCGCCCCCGCAGCGCCTTCGTTGCCCCCGAGCGCGTGCGGGTGATGACGTCACGTACCGGCGCAGAGGTTTCCCGTGGCCGCGGCGTTAACGCGGAGCTGGGTGCGGGGCTGAGCCCCGACGTGCCGGGTCCCGGCCGCGCTCGGCTCCCGCTGCCGAGGGGGTTCCCGGTGCCGGGAGGAGGGGCCGCCCCCGGGGCCGCCCCCAGCGGAAGCGCCGCC